ATAAGATATTCAGTTTGAAACCCCGTTTTTTCACCTCTAGAGAAACATATGTTTAAAGTTAACTGAGATAAATACATCACAGATGCATAGGATTCAATTACACTTCTTCAAGTGAACTTACTTTTGAAGTACTTTTGTACAGTATTAGGTTTTCTGTTTGTTTAGACGGTAAACCAAGAACACTAATAAAATAAGTCCCACGTTATTAGTTTTTTATATCTCCCTGTTGGCCAAGAGTTACCATTGCATTTCACTGTCCACACAAGATCAGTGATCATCAGGTGGCTGCAGCTCTACAGTGGAAGCTCTTGCCCCTCACACATAGATCCATTTACTATCTGACCGCTTGTCTCCTCTCTCAACGTCAGCTCGCTCATCAGTGTTAGTTTTCCTACAAAGCCTTGTCATGGTGCAGTTTTAAAATTTTCAGCTCTACACCAAGCGCTTTTGGCAACTTTAGTCTTATCTAAACACTCACCAGATAGCAGCTGGTTCTAATTATGTAATACTTCCGCCTGCTTGTCTTTAAATTAGTACAAAAGCTGTTTATTTTACTCTGACACCAATACCCCGATTTTCACCGTGCTCCTTCTCCCTCCCCCATGCACACATACACACCCACATCCACACCTCATCAGTCAAAGAGTCCCTCGCCATGGCAACAGTAAATGAAAGCAACCTGAAAGAGCCCCCAGTGAGCGGCGGATGCTGGGGCTGCCTGCATTGTTGGAGGGAGGATCTGGCAACCTGCAATCACAAGCCCTCTATTCAGGCCCTCTTTAGTATTACTCAGCAAGTCAGGATTTACTGCATCATGGCTTCCGTTCTATTCAGCCCTGACTGGCACATTGGCACGAGATAAGTGCCGCTTGGAAACGTGACACAGTGGCTGCCCATGCACAATGCTCCATGGCTCTCACACTGTTTGTATGTGTGTGTGTGTGTGTGTGTGTGTGTGTGTGTATGCATGCATGTCTTTGTGCGTGCAGCATGTAATGAATCTTAATTATCTTTTTGTCTGGCCTTCAGGTCCTGGATATACGGCCAGAGTCAGAGACTATGCTCAGTGAAGGAACCAGGGTGTGCGCTTACTGGAGCGAACGTTCACGCTGCTTATACCCAGGCTACGTTCGCAGAGGTGAGACATCAACTGTTTTCCTGTGTCCTCTGTATCTTCAATTATACATTTAAATTATATGTATTGTATATACAATCACTTTTTTGCATTTGTACATTTTCCTGCAAACCTGAGGAAGTACATTTCTGTCTCTTGCAGGTGGTTCATCTGATGAAAGGAAGCAAGGAGGAGTCATGGTAGAGTTTGATGATGGGGACCGAGGGAAGATTTCTCTCCCAAACATCCGCCTGCTGCCTCCAGGATACCAGATTCACTGTGGGTGTCTCCTCTCCCTGTAACTGGAAATTTTACCTTTCATGTTGCAGTGTATTGTCTACCTGTTCGTAAATGCTAATAATCTTATACCCCTTGTCCTTTAGGTGGGGAGTCATCTCCTGTCCTTGTGGTACCCAGAGGGACAACAGGAAAGAGAAGTTCTAGTCTGGAGCAGGCCCCCATTAGTGACAGACCCTCTGACAGACTCAACACTAACAATACTATAATCAACAGCCAAACTCTAACTGTTCACAAAAGAAGACCAGGTAAGAATTAACCCCTAAAACTCTTTTTTTCCCACCTTAAATAACCTAGAAGTTGTAAAGTTATAGAAAAAAAAACACTTTTTCCTGTGAAACGGTATCACACGTACTATTTGTCTGCTTGTTCCAACAAATCATTTAAACTATAATGGTAACATCGACCATTTCAAACCAAAATAACAAGTTTTATAGCTGCACCATTACATCAAATGTAAATATTCCAAATGTCTCATGTATCATTTTATACTAATATTAACTTTGAAATCTTTGAAAACCATTAGGATCTTGACTAGAATTCAAAACACATTTCTGTGGGTCTGTACACTGCTCAGCTTTAGCCTTGCAATAGATATTATCTTTGTGAAGTTTACAATGTTCAGTTTTTGTTCACACTTTGTCAGAGAGGAGTTGAATTAAATTCTTTTGATTTTTGTGGCTGTATGTAGTTATTGTTTAGGTTGTTTTGGGCATATACGTTATATTAAAAGGTATATCTAATGAAACATGTCAGTATACAGTATCTACCAATACATTTTTCACCATTTGCTAAAATATATATATATGTATAGACATATATTTTCTTAATTCTAGGAAGACCAAAGGGTTCTGGGAAAAAACAAAAGCAGCAGCAGCAGGCTGAGAATGCCAATAAAAATCCTTCACCTTTCCTGGGTTGGCCTTCGTTGGCCAACACCAGGAAGAGGACGTCTGACAACCTATTTCAGCTCAATGGGACAACCAGGAAGGCCTTGAGGGGGAATGAGGATGACCTATTCCACCTGCCTCAGACTCAGCCAATGGCCTCCACCCCAGCCAAAGGCCTTTTCAGCAGTAGCTCCTTTGAGGTAGACTCTTTCAGCAGCATTGCAAATGGCTACTCATCCTTCTGTACTCAGTCTACAAGGCCAAGTCCGAGTTTATCTCTGGGCCCCAGAAGTGGGTTGTATGGCCAGAGGCGAAGGCAAGATGAGCTGGTTATGCCAAGGGGCCGGAAGTCTGGACAAGAGTTCCCGGTCAAGTTAGATCATGAAGGAGTGACCTCCCCCAAGACAAAGAACAGCAAGGCTCTGCTGTTGCGAAGTGGATCTACCAGTGTGAGTGGTATGCCCAGGACAGAGGCTTACTCTCACCCTGTACTGCTGGTTAAAGACAACAAAAAGGGTGGTGCCTCCAGGGTAGAACTTCTCTTAAAAGGAACCACACCTCAAAGAAAACCCTCCCATTCTCTGCGTCTGGGTGAATATGGTGACATGGGCTTCAGCTACCACAGAGAGTGTCACAGCCCCTACTCAGATCTGGATGATGAAGAGGAAGAGAGGAGGAGGGCTGCACTGGCTGCAGCCTCAGGAGGACTAAGGACGGCTGGCCGCTTCCTGTCTCGTCTCTCTGTCTCCTCCTCATCTTCTGGTTCTTCAAGCTCCTCCTCCTCAGGCTCTCTCTCCAGTTCCAGCCTGTGTTCATCTGACAATGATTCCTCCTACAGCTCAGAGGATGAGGACAGTTCTACACTGATGCTTCAGAGTTGTCTGTCTTCCCACCGAGAGCTTCTGCAACCCTCTGAACCCTCCACTTCTTCAAGGCCACACCAGCACTCCTTTGTGGCCAAAGCTGTGGCTCTTTCCACAGCCAAAGGAGCACCCCCTGACCACGTTTCCAACAGCAAATCCCTGAAGAGGAAAGAATGCACCAGCTCCACCTCCAAACCATATAAGGAGTTTGTCAAGAAACCAAGGATGCTTCCAGATGACACCTCATTTATTCCAAGGCCCAAGATGTCTGCATTCCTTGCAGGACGACAACTGTGGCGGTGGTCAGGAAACCCTACACAGGTGAGAATAATCTATCCATGTTTCTTCTGCATACCATCAATGTAGCAAATATGTGTCCTTTTCTTTCATATTAGTTTAGTTCTCTTAGGATACTAAACTATTACTAAAATACTAAACACTAAAGGTTAAGAGAGGTAATAATAGTAATCAGCAATGCCTGGTTTTCCACAGCGGCGAGGTCTAAAGGGCAAGGCCAGGAAGCTTTTCTATAAGGCCATCGTGCGAGGCAGAGACACGGTGCGAGTGGGAGACTGTGCTGTGTTCCTTTCAGCTGGACGCCCTAACCTCCCATACATAGGTCGAATTGAGAACCTCTGGGAATCCTGGACCTCCAGCATGGTAGTCAAAGTCAAGTGGTTCTACCACCCCGAAGAGACCAAGCTAGGCAAGAGGCATCGAGATGGCAAGGTGAGATGGAGGTTACAATTTTATGGAGATTTGTACCATAAGGAACTTTCATATGACATTATTCTTTCTTTGTTGGTTAATAAATTTAATGATGCAGCTAATGCTGTCTTTTCCCTATCCAGCATGCCCTGTACCAGTCATGTCATGAGGATGAGAATGACGTCCAGACAATCTCTCATAAGTGCCAGGTGGTGAGCAGGGAGGAGTATGAGTGTCTGACTCGCAATCAGAAGCCGAACAGTACCTTCCCAGACCTCTACTACCTGGCTGGGACGTATGACCCCACCACAGGTCAGTTGGTCACTGCTGAAGGGGTTTCCATCCTGTGCTGAACCTCCATGAGGACACTACTGAAGGACTCCTTTGGGGGAAGGATAAAAGTCCATGACATTTCCTAAAAGACTCTCCAGCCTTGGAAGACAACAAGTGTTCCTTGAGTATCTCTCAAGGACCCATGGACTAAATGTCAGCACCAAAGCAGGGCTGTCTGAGGTAACACACTGGAGGCATCTAACCTTCATGAAAGCGAAGGCGATGTCCACAACTGATTTATCCTTTCAAGAAGAATATTACAAAGTCTGGGTCTTCCTGGGCATCACAAAATTAAGTGGTGTTTCAATCGTCCACCTAATCTCCTTTAATGGATTCATGTGATTGACAGCTTCATAACTGTTTTTTAGGACTTCCAGCTCCTATCATATGTCACCAAAGGAGAGCAGAGAGTGCATTTGACTGTGCAAAGTACCATGAGACTGAAAAGTCTCTGTGGACCAATTCTTTAAAGGTAGCCTTACCTTTGGTGTGGAAACGAAAGTGAGGCGTGGGGCTCTCCCTAGACCTCTTCATTCCAGGGAAGTTGAAAACATGTAAAGGATGTATTGTTGATGTCTGTATATATTTTGAATTTTTCCCAATCAAGCCATACACTTCAGTACCTCTCACCTGTCTTAACTGTTCAGGTGTACATTGTACAGTTCAATTATTGTATTGTTGTCTGTTGTCTATATGTACATAAAAGCTATTTTATATAGGAGTTTATTGTATATATGAGATGTATCTTTCCATGTTTGCGATTGATTTATTTTTATATGGGTGTAGAATACATTATGTCGTTCTTCCTTTGCTTTGGGAAGTCAAGATTGAAGATGTTAGTGTTGCACTGCATATGCCCTGCTGAGACAGACAGACAGAGCACAAAGACAGAAGGTTTTAGTCTATAACAGGACAAGACTCACTTTCTGAGAGAGAGGGGTCATCCTGTTAAAAAATAGGTCAAGTGGCTTTTTGTAAAAGTGTTCTGTTACTTCGCATTTTTGTTCTCCTATTTTAAAAACACCTTTTTATTTATGTACCTCTCTGTTGGTCATCATCACCAGGCAGATCCCACTGGACTGCAATCACGGGTCAAAAGTGATTTAAGATCAATGATAAGAGTATACCATTTTGACATAATATTTGTGTGTGATGAGTGTCCTGGCATCACTATAATCATGTCCACACAAATCAATTTAGAACAAGACTGGGTCTTTTAATGAAAATAATGAATGCATAGTTCAGCACATTATGACCTACAAAATACCAAAGTGTCTTTAATATCTTTATTTACTTTATTGAGATTTAACATATGTCAAGCACCTGTACTGAACTCAAATCAGAAATCACTGGTAACTTATAAAATACTTGTCCTCCACTATGTGCATATATATTGGCTTTGCATTGTGACAATGGTTTCTTGCACATTTACCTGCAGTTTTGGTTAGAGCAAATATGCAGCAGAACACCTGGGAGTGTAACTATGAAGGTCAAGGTACTGACAAAGTAAGATGTTGAGTACTGACAATTTGTTGAAATTAGTCTATTTTAGTTTCATCAGCCATCTGTGTCTATTTTGTACAGTACACGCACATACACAATGCTAACTGTGAAGGACAATCAGATTCACAAAGCAATGGACATAGAGTAGGTTCACTTGATCTGAAAATTACTTACATTTATTTAATTTGTGCCAAGTACATTTGGACTATTTTTGTCTTGTTTGATATGCAATCCTGAGTATTCTTTATTCACAAAGTTTTATTTTGTTCGCCAACATTTTATTTATTGTCAATGTTGCTGTTTGTTCATGCCAAGAGCGCTTTATGAGAATGTGACATTGTTTTTCTTGGTGTGATGTCGCATTTGCATTTCTTAAATAAAACTGGTCTTGTAGAGGCCATCTAGTGAAAAGAAATAAAGCAACACTGGATTCTTCTCATCCACAAACCTCTGTGAATTAATTCTATTATTCTGGCTGTGTCCCTTTCATCTTACCGCACCTGCCATTTTCCATCAACACATTTATGTTAAACCCAGCATTTGTGCACCAATTTCTACTATGTTCAAAATGTAGTTTTATCAAATTGTAAAAAAAGAAAAAAAAAAAATTATTTTGCTCTGCAAAATCCTCCCGAGTGGTAAAAATGTAACCACACTCACCAATTATAGTGTGTGTATGTGCGTGAGTGTGATTTGAATGTGATGGAGTACACGTTAGAAAGCCACTCCTTACTGTAAGTAATAGAAACAAACAGGATGAGACATTTCAGAGGGTCCCCTTGGATTCTGGAATAGACGGATTGAGTAAAGTTCTTTAATGTGACGAAGAGAATGTCTTTGAAAGACAGAATGAAGTTCATTGTGTCATCCAAATGCACAGACAAAATTAATACCAAAGTTTAAAGAACAGTCCACATGCATTGGTACTTTTCCCCACAAATATCTATGGTAGATTTGTTGATGTTTGAAAAGGAAGAGGAACAAAAATGGTTTACCCACTGAAGTTGTGCATGCCATCAGCTAATCAGTATCATTTGACTATAAGAACCACCAGAAAGGCAAATCAATAAGGAATCTTTAAGACAAACTTGCACTCATACTTTTGATCATTTGTGCCATCTTTGCTATTGGTTATAATGTTTATTCCCACCTATATCACACGGCTGATTTCTCCCTTAACCATCCCCCAGTCTCCACCTGTTCTAGTTTCTTATTACTAGACGTGGTGATGGCAGCTCTTGCCTTGTTGTGCATTATGTTTATCACATATCTCATTTATATGTGTGTGCTGGGCTCTGTTATTTATACCCCTTAGGGAGTAATGTGCGCCGCTTAGAATTTTGAGGCTACTTGGATTCATTCGTAAAGCACCATCAAGCACAAAGGCCCTTTTCTGCCAAATTATTTTATTTGTTGCGATAAATCCTTTGATGTAAGTGTCTCTGGCTGAACTAAGTTTATGTGAGCTTTGAGTTCCTTAGTAAATAGAGACAGATCTGTCACGGCATCAAATAAAGCCTACTGGGTTTAGCTGCCAAGCTCTGTAAATATGATGTTGACTGATACAGAGATGTGAATTTTCGTGATTCATGATAAAGTACATTTCAAATGAATTGGTACATTGTTGGTGTATCTGTGGGGTGGTAGATAACCATGATATAGGCCCAAAAACTCCCCAAGCCCTTGAAGTCTGTCTGCATTCAATGTGTTAACGTTTTCAAGATTTGTAAATGTGTAATTTCTGTATTTGTGCTACAATTTTTTACAAGTAAAATCTGTGGTATGGATCAAGATTTTTATAGATATATGAATAAATAAATAACAGAAAATGTAAGATTGTTTTTTCTGATCAAAATAAAGGGATTCATATACACATTGTTCACATCTCTTAAATGAAGGACAGGCCTAGATGTAAAGGAGAGCACTCTCTAGTGGACCACAAAGCACACTACATCACACAAAATAATTTAGCAAATTGAAAACACCTTTTTTTCTATAGTGTAGTATTATGAGTTTTTAGTCTATAACAGTAAACAGAATGCCAGCAGCAATATGAAGCCTTCTCCATTCAGTGCCTGAAGCAGCAGGTATTTTCCTCTGTCCTAACACACCATCCATGACCTACAGCATCTGTCCATTTGCATACATGCTCATCAACTTTGACAAAGCCAATCTCTGTAACCTGAATCAGTTAAATAACGACTGGCTAGGCCCAAAGGACACACAATGTGGGTCAGTGACCTTTCTCTGCAGGCCCAGGGTTTTTTTTGTTGTGCATGGAGCCCGAGTGCTGCCACCCATCCCCCTAATGCCCAGACATGGACTAATGGGCACATCAGTCATCTCCAACAGCGGCCCAGTGAACACAAACAGCTCTGTTTACCACCACAACCTTTTGTGTTGACTATGGCCACTGCCCCGTGTCTGAGCCATGTCCCTTCCTGCATCAGCAGCATGGGTGTAGGGGGAACTCTCCTCATTACTGGAGCTGAAGAAGGGGTTAAGAGTGGGTGTGTGGGGGTGTTAAGGTTATTATCATGTTTTGAGAGGGTTTCGCTTCATTACTCCTCTGTGCTTAGAGAAACACAGTCAAGATAAGATTCACCAGGGATCTAACAAGGGCAATTTAGGCTGTATATTTATGACAAATTATACATACTGAATGAAACCAACCCAACATGCTGTATCTGTGGGAACGACAAGGTCGCTAAAATAGGTCAATGCACCAAATCTGTCTATTGCTTTCCTCATTTGGACCACGTTTTAAAGTCTATAACCTGGATTCTGTCTCACTCGACAGACCGGTTTGCCTGTCTTACTTTTCAGTGCCTGTCTGGTTCAGCTCGCTCAGCATCCAGACTGTGTTGCTCAGTGTCAACAGGAGGAATGCTTTCCTGCACAAATATCTACACCTCATAAATGTCTCGCCCTCTGCTTGACCCCGTCTGGCCTCTGACTGTGAGGGGGTTGAACAGGGGACAGAAAGCCTGGTGTGTGTGTGTTTGTGTGTGGAGGAGCAGGGTTGAGGTGAGGTCTTGGGTCTTAACAAGGTGCTGGGAGAAGAGAGCAGGACAAACAGATCATTCAGACACTGACTGCTTCTGCTTAAAGGGCACTAAAGCCCCAATCTCTTGTTTTTGAGCATATCAATTATGGAGCAGTTCCAGCCACTGTAGAATAACCTCAACCATACTGTGCAGAAGTAACACAGAAGCTTTCAAGCTATTCCTCTATGGGGTGAAGCAGTAGTGCAGCCTCAACGTGAAAAAAAAACTTTGACGTCAACATTTGGATTTATGCAAATATTGAAGACTGAGACTTACAGATGAGAGAATCACAATGTTTTCACATCTAACAGACATACCTGTATTTTTGCTGTATTGTGTTTTTATACCTGCATTGTATTTGTACCTGTAATGTATTTTTATTGTGCTTTTCTTTTCATCTTTATATATTTTAACTTTAAAAAAACCCTCCTGCGGACAGGTGTTGTAAATTTGCATTTAGTTCCAAACACACTATTTGCATTTTGTTACAAAACAATACAGTGCATCTGGTGCTTGTGCATAATTGCATGTTGCAGTTCCAGTGCTATTTCTATGTCCATGTCAAATAGAATGAGAGTGAATGAAAAATGAGTGTAAATGCAAAAAGGAAAATGGCAGGCAAGTTTGAGAGTCTTTCAGTAGATCTGATGGTAAACAAGATACCCATCATTTGTCAGAGGCTGATTCACGACGGAGTCTTTAAACAACTATAAGTGCATGAAACCTCCAAAAGCTGAACGTGTGTGCATGTTTACAGCATGCATTACGGAAGGCTTTTAGAGGTGAACTGAATACTGAACCACCTGCTGTTTGCAAATATCTGCACATCCTCATAAGGATATGCTGGACTTCTGCACACTCCTGTGTTGCATAAAGACATATGCCACCACACAGTAAACTCACTAACTGCGCTGTGTGTTGTTTGCCGTGGCCCAGATCCAGCCATGCCACCCCTAATCCATTTCTCTGTTGCTCATTATTAGTGGCTTGTAAAGATTCTGTATCAGCTATGCTAAAAGAGCTTTTCACAGTATTACATGGGATTACTGCTGCTCCTGGCTACATATGTTGCTCACAAACTCTGATGTAATATCGCCACCCTGTTTACAAGGCGCTGACAAAATAACACATGCATGACTCATTATCAGGGTCTTCCTTTTTTTGTTTGTGGGTTAGATTGTGTCACATCCTCTTTTATTCCAAAATCATCCCTTTAACACTTATCCATGTCTTTCCTTCTGTTGTGCGATACAGCAGTAATGTGTGCATGAATGAATAAACGAGGAAAATGAAAGGAGGAGAGAAAGC